TGAGAGAGAGCAAGATATCAAAAACATGCTGAAAGAAATAGTGACAGAAAACTTCCCCCACCTGGTGAAAGAATTAGACTTACAAGTCCAGAAAATGCACAGAACTCCAGACAAAAGGAATCCAAAGAGGACCACACCAAGACAAATCATAATTAAAATTCCAAGAGCAAAAGACAAAGAGAGAATATTAAAAGCAGCAAGAGCAAAGAAGGTAGTTACCTATAAAGGACACCTATACAATTGTCAGCTGATTTCTCAACAGAAACCATGCAGGCCAGACGGGAGTGGCAAGAAATATTCAAGGTGATGAATAGTAAGAACCTACAGCCAAAGATAATCTATCCAGCAAAGCTATCACTCAGAATTGAAGGCCAGATAAAGAGCTTTACAAATAAAAAAAAGCTAAAGGAGTTCATCACCGCCAAACCAGAATTATATGAATTGCTGAAGAGGGTTCTTTAGGAAGAGGAAGAAAATAAAGATAAAAATTATGAACAACAAATATGTAACTATCAACAATTGAATCTAAAAACCAAGGGAATTAAAAAACCTGATAAACAATATTAACTGTTGAATATAATAGAATCAGAAGAATGGAAGGGGAGTGGACTGACAATTCTTGGGGAAAAGAGGAGTGGGGGTGGGGGAAGAAACTGAACATAAACTGTGCACCTATGGATGAGGACCATGGGGGGTGGGGAAAGGGCAGAGGGTGAGGTGGAAACCTGGTGAGGGGAAAAAATGAGGAACTTTTGTAATAATATGAACAATAAAGATTTTAAATATATATATATATATATATATATATATATATATATATATATATATATATTATACAGAGCTGAAACCGGTTTGGCTCAATGGATAGGGCATTGGCCTACGAACTCAAGGGTCATAGGTTTGATTCTGGTCAAGTGCACATATTTTGGTTGTGAGCACATCCCCTGTAAGGGGTGTGCAGGAGGCAACTGATCAATGTTTCTCTCTCATCAATGTTTCTAACTATCTATCCTTCTCCTTCCTCTCTGTGAAAAATCAATAAAATATATTTTTAATAAATAAATAAAACAAAATTCTTTATATATATATAATTTTTAAAAATATATATATTTATATATATTATACAGAGACCAAACCCAGTTCCAGGCGAGCCTCTGGAGCATCCACACTCTTACAAGAGGAATCTGGACGGTCAGGCAGAAACTCAGGGAATCCGTGGAAGGCAGAGGTCTGAGGTGCATGCACAAGGGCAGGACTGATGGGAAGCCAAGATTGTCAGCTCAGTTCTGAGACTTTGCCCCATTTAAGCTGAACACAGAGGCTGTTGCAATTTTGCAAGTCTGATCCTTTAAGACTGTCTCCAATATAGAAGGTATTCTGTTGTAGACACAACTGATACTCACATAATATTGGCCTGGAGGTCAATTCCTCCCAGTGATACCAACAACAATCAAGACTTAGCTACAACAAGGCTGTACACACAGTCCACAAAGGGGTGCACCAAGAGTGTCTACATCAGGTAACTGGGGAGGCTGAACCCCCGGGCCATGTAGGACACCAAGCACACAAAGCCACCCTACCAACTCAGGGAAGCAGTGAAAATGCCGAGACAAGGAAAGAGATCTCAAACAAAATAAATTGAGAACAAAAGACTGGATGTAGAATTCAAAACCACGGTTATAAGGTTTTTCTTTTCTTTAAAAAAAAAATATATATATTTTATTGATTTTTTACAGAGAGGAAGAGAGAGGGATAAAGAGTTAGAAACACCAATGAGAGAGACACATCAATCAGCTGCCTTTTGCACACCCCCTAAAGGGGATGTGCCTGCAACCAAGGTACATGCCCTTGACCGGAATCGAATCCGGGACCTTTCAGTCCGCAGGATGATGCTCTATCCACTCAGCCAAATCGGTTTCGGCGGTAATAAGGTTTTTAAATAATTTCCTAGAAAAGGCCAATAAATTTAACAAGACCCTCAAGGATATAAAAAGGACCAACTAGATATTAAACATACACTGACTGAAATGAAAAATATTATACAGAGACCCAATAGCAAACTAGAGGAATGCAAGAATCAAGTCAAAGATTTAGAATACAAAGAGGCAAAGGACACTTCTCTGGAGAAGCAAGAAGAGAAGAGAATCCAGAAAGTTGAAGATAGTGTAAGGAGCCTCTGGAACAACTTCAAGTGTACAAACATCTGAATCATGGGGGTGCCAGAAGATGAGAGAATGCAAGATACTGAAAACCTATTTGAAGAAATAATGTCAGAAAACCTCCCCCACGTGGTGAAAGAAATAGATTTACAAGTCCAGGTAGTGCACAGAACCCCAAACAAAAGGAATCCAAAGAGGATTACACCAAGACACATCATATTTAAAATGCCAAGGGCAAAAATAAAGAGAATCTTACAAGCAGCAAGAGAAATACAGTTAGTTACATACAAGAGAGCACCCATATGATTATCAGCTGATTTCTCAACAGAAACTATGCAGGCCAGAGAGGAATGGCAAGAAATATTAAAAGTAATGAATACAATCAAGAGTACTCTACCCAGCAAAGTTATCATTTAGAATTGAAGGCTAGTTAAAGAGCTTCACAGATAAGAAAAAGCTAAAGGACTTCATCACCACCAAACCAGTATTATATGAAATGCTGAAAGGTATTCTTTAAGAAGAGGAAGAAGAAGAAAAAAGTAAAGATAAAAATTATGAATAACAAGTACATATTTATCAACAAGTGAACCTAAAAATCAAGTGAATTAAAAATCCGAGGAACAGAAAAACTGGTGAATATAATAGAATCAGGGGCAAAGAAAGGAGTGGATTGATAATTATCAGGGGGAAAGGGGTGTGGGGCGTGCAGGAAGAGACTGGAATAAAATCATACACCTATGGTTGAGGACAATGGAGGAAGGTAAGGGTAGAGGGTGGGGTGGGAACCGGGTGGAAAGGAGCTATGGAGGGAAAAAGGAAAAACAATTGTACTCATCTGAGCAATAAAGATTTATTAAATTAAAAAGAAAAGAAAAAAAAACTACAGTAACTAATGTATTTTATAAACATGGACACAAAAATTATTAACAAAATTTAGCAAACTGAATACAAAATGATAAGAAAACATGCTACATCTATAATAATCTATAATAATAATAGCATAATATGTTAATTAGACTGGACAGCTGAATGACTTTCTGAATGTCCTTCCAAACGATCTTCTGGATGAAGTTGGGGCTGGGGCTGCAAGATCTGAGGCAAGCCACCTCAAGTGCAAGGGCCAAGCCCTTTGCACGAATTTCATGCATTGAGCCTCTAGTTATGAATAAATGGCATTTATTCCAAAAATTCAAGGTTGGTTTAGCATTCATAAATCAATGTAATTTACTATATTAACAGATTTGAGAGAGAAAAACATGTGATTATTTGACTAAATTCAGTAAAAACGTGATAAAACCTAATATTAATAAGTCACATAGGTATGGTGACTATAAATAATACTATATTGCTTTTTGAATGTTGCTAAGAGAGTAAATATGAAAAGATCTCATTACAAGAATGAAATGTGTAATTATGTATGGTGATGGGTGTTAACTACCGCAGATGTGTTGTGGTCATTTCACAATATGTACAATTATTGAATTAAAAAATAAGCCCAATACCTATTATTGATTAAAAATCTAAGTAAACTAGGAAAAGAAGGGAATTTCCCCAACTTTATAAAGAGCATTCTAAAATATATATAGCCACTATCATACTTAATGGTGGAAGACAATGCTTTTTCCCCTAACATCAAGAACAAAGTAAGAATGCCTCATTACTTCTACTCAACTTTATATGGGGGTCCTAGCCTACCTAGTACATCAAGAACAAAGTTTAAAAGAAAACAGATATTAAAGGAGAAGATAAAGCTGCCTCTATTAGCATATGACAGATTATCCTATATAATAAAGAGATAATATACAAATAGTCATCATGCCCTCAGGTCATCACACCTTCAGGCCATCACACCCTAACTGCTCAGGCACTCTACACTGGAGAGAAAGGAATGGGGACCAGCCAGGCACAAATGAGAGAAATGGGACCAGCCAGGCTGCGGCCCAGGAGAGGAACAAGCCCCAAGTCCTGTGGTCCCTGGAGCTTTGGTCTGTGAGAGGAACAAACTGTCTATCTTGTAGTCCCAGGCGCCAACACCCGCGGCCCAGGCGAAGGTGCCCACCCATGGTCCCTACAGCTGCAGCTGACCCTGGCAATGCCGGTCCCGGTTCCGAGTGCCTGCAGCAGTCCAGAGGGAGGGTATCCTGGGACCTGGGTGAGGGGCGAGGCTGAGGCAGTTAGGGGCGATCAGGCCAGCAGGGAGCTGTTAGGGGTAATCAGGCTGGTAGGGAAACAGGGGAGATCAGGTAGGTAGGCAGAAGTGGTTAGGGGCAATCAGGCAGGAAGGCAGGCAAGTTAGGAGCCAGTGTTCCCAGATTTTGAAAGGCAGTTGGACATCCCCCAGGGGGTCCTGGATTGGAGGGGGTGCAGGTGGGGCTGAGGGTCCCCTCCACTCCCAGTCCCGTATATGAATTTCGTGCACTGGGCCTCGAGTATGTGTAGAAAATCCCAAAGAATGAACAAAGAAAATCTATGAGAATGAATCACTGCTAATAAGCTATTTGATCAGTCAGTCAGGATCAAATGAAAACTATTGATTTAAAATTAGATATCAAAATTAGCTAGCTATCGATTTCAATTTCTCTTTGATTCTCAATCATTCAATAGCACATGTGATTTATTTCTTAAAAAGCTTGATTAATTCTGAGATGAAAATGAAAGAGATGAATATAAAATTGGAGCTTGTTTATTCACTCAGGTGAAACTGTCATTTGAAATCAAAATTATCTTAAACACAGTCAAATTTCATGCAAATAAAATGAGTTCTAAAAAAATATAGCTAGCCATGGGAAGTTAACGAAAAAATAAGTTGCAAGCTATAAAATTCTCACGAAGTATACCTACCTCTCTGGTTCGCAGGAGCTGTGCTTGCTCAATTTTAGAGATGATTTTCTGTACTTCGACAGGGACCTCAAGTTTAGAGACCTGAAGGTCCACTTTGGGCATGATGGTGCAATCCTCAACTTCATTTCCTGAATCAGATTCATAATCTCTCTTATTTTCCATCTCGATCAAGTCGAGTGATTTTCTTTTTCTTCTTTATTTCCTCCTCAGAATATAGGCAAATGGTAACAAACGCGTCCACGAGGAAGCTAGAAGTCTTTCTGCTCTCAGAAAGGGGAGATTGTGGTTTACCTCGCCACTGATTTGTTGCTAACCATGGTGTTCTGACCCTGGTGATGTCATAATAGACCCGTTGTGACATAATCATTGACTCAAACATTCTAAAAGTGCTTACTATAAGCAGAGAACTAGGCATTCTATATGCTGTGATGGTAGAAGGGTGACGGGGGGAGGGTGGAAAGAACAGACAACAGGAATGATTAAGGAAATAGAAATATAGCCCTGCTTAAATGAGCTTAAAAATCTAGGTGTTAGATTCAAGATCCAGTGTATCAAATGTAACTCCTGGTTCTTCTCTCTTCTTGAAATTTTGCTTAAGAATATTTAAGCCTGTAATGGAATAATTGTGTTACAACTTCCTCAGCTGCCCCTCAACTTTTCCTAGACACGTAGTAACTTAGGAGATCTTATTTGAAGGATGACTATACTCTGCACTGCCTAGTTACCTGCTTTTTCCAAGGAACCTGACTGAAGAAGGCTTTGAAGTTCCATAGTTGGCTCCAGAAGTGGAAGGGTACTACTAGAGGCTACTTTCTAACTGAAAAAGGAGTACTTTGGAAAGTTCTTTGATTGCAGTGGATATGAAAGGATGTAGGAGGCTGGAGAAATTAAAGGACAATGGCTTTGTTGGCTGAATAGCTTTCTTATTTTTTAATGCAAAATATATGAAAAAATACAGAAAGTAAATATAATCATGTATCTATCAACCTAGAATGAACAAATATTAACATTTTGTCATATCTGCTTCGGATTTTTTTTTAAATTATTGATTTGAGAGAGGAATGGAGAGGGTAAGAGAGGTAGAAACATCTATGATGAGAATCACTGATTGGCTATCTCCTGCACGCCCCTCCTGGGGATGGAGCCTGCAACCCGGGCGCGTGCCCTTGACTGCAATCAAACCCCGGACCCTGCAGCCCACAGGCTAATGCTCTATCCACTGAGCCACACAAGCTAGGGTTGCTTCAGATCTTTTTAAAAGAAAGCATTAGATATAAGATGAAGTCCCATGGTGTTCTCCCCAGACTCCTTGCTTTCCCTCTGTCCCTTTTTAAAGGCAATGACTACCATGAATTTGATATCTTTATGTCTAGTCTATGTTTATGTAGTTTTACTACTGGTGTATATGTTAATAAACTGTATAATATTGTTTTATAGATTTTACATTTTATATAAGTTGAGGATGTATTACTTAATTTCTCTATAAGAACTTCCAATCTTGAGTCCTTACTGTAGATTTAGTCCTTACTGTACCTTATTGTAAATTTAGTCCTACATTGAATCCTTGTTGTAAACTTGTAAAGTCAAACAACTGATATATTGCAGGCTTTCAGAAAAAGAGGCAGAGTATCATAAAGCAATTGTCTTTTAAAAATATCAATATACAGGGAGCAAATTAGATACTTTTCTTTCTCTTTAAGATCCTGTTATCTAAGTTACTTCCTCTGTTTTCCTAAGTCACTTTGTAAACTTTCTATTATAGTACTTATCTCATTGAAGTATAACTATTATTTGTCTCTACCATTAGTGCAAACTCAAAATCAGATGATATAGTTTTCTTTTTCTGACATTTGATGTATTTTTTCAGTTTCTCTACAGATACTGTCTAAATTTGGATATCTATTATAATTTGAAACTTTTCTAAGCCCCAGAATACTTTCTTTTTTTTTAATTAAAATTTTTCTTTTATTTGTTTCAGAGAGGAAGGGAGGAGAGATAGGAATATCAATGATGAGAGAGAATCATTGATTGGCTGCCTTCTGCAAACCCCGTAGGGGAATCAAGCCCACAACCTGGGCATTTGCCCTTGACTGGAATAGAACCCAGAGCCCTTCAGTCCACAGGCCAATGCTCTATCCACTGAGAAGAATCGGCCAGGGCCAGAATACTTTCTTTTATTGCTGACTGCCCATCCTGCCCCTACTCATAAACTATTACTCCCTCCTTTTCTGTAAATCACAATTAAGTGTATCTATTCAAGAAAGTTCATGATGTTTTCAGAAAGGATTATGATTAAAGAAAATTATTTATTTTTATAATTGTGAGGTTTGTGAAAATATCCAGCATTTCTTGTCTTTACCAATCAACTTGTTTAAGTATTTGTTGAGAATATTACATTGTGAGATCCTTAAATTGTTTTTCACTTGATTTCTTTACATTGCTTACTCCAATAGGCATTCACGAAGCAGCCAGCATACGTATCCACTAAACTAATTTAGCATTATTGTGCTCTCATATTTTTTATGCAGCATGGAATTCATCAGCAACTAGAAATGAAGATTTTTTTAAAGCAAATATAAAACTCTCCTTCCCTTTCAATTTGAGAAGCATTTTTTGAGACACTACTATGTGACTACCATTATCCTAAACTGTGAAGAATATAATAGGATACCTGTAAAGAAACAGAAAAAAGAAAATAACAAGATAGAATATAATATTCGAGTGCTAACAAGGGACATGAAGAAGAGATCTGTGGGGAGTACAGTCTTTGGGAAAACCTTATGGAGAGAGAAGGTTGATTGATAAATGAAGGCTTTCCAGATAGGGAAGACATTTTGAGCCATGGCTTTGGAGGTGAGTGCTGAGCTTGTATTTCACGGGGGAGAGTGAGGAGATTGGTTTAATCAATATGAAGTAATGTTGCATTTACTGATGATCAGATTAGGAAGAGTATGAGACACAAATATCAACAATTTGATGGGGGAATTAATTTACTATCTAACTGAAAAAGTAAAGAAATTCACTTGAGGTAAAGTAAGGCAGATTACATGGGTTTAGAATGGTCTTGAAAGCAAGTAACAGCAGTTTAGTGAAAATGAAACCTTCAGTTTACATAATAGAATGGAAAAAATCCATTGGAAAATACCAAGACATGATTCTTTCCAAAGTGAGTGCCTGAACCAGGATATAGAAGTGGGATTGATGAGGGAGGTATACTAAGGAATTTGGGCAATCTAACAGAAAAGTAGGAATTTTTGTTGTTTTGGCTGCTCTGCCTGTGGAATATAGTCTTCTATCTCACTGCTTCACTAATAAACTTACTTTCACTTTACACTCCAAATATATATATATATATATACATATATATATATATATATATATTCCATTTCTATTGATGACAAAACATCAAGAAGAAGCTAACCAGATTATTATAAAGTAGCTCGATATTAAGGGGAGCTGTGGGTATTTGATTAAAAAAAAACAAGGGCAAAGTTCTTTAAAGGTGTGTCTAAACGAAACCCGCCCTCCTAGAAGGCGTAACTGTAAACGGGGGATAATCGCATTTATTGCAAGTAATGGTTTTAAGATGACTAAAATACTTAGAATGGTGCCAAACATACAGTAAGCGTTTAATACAGATGCTGCTTTTTTATCCTCTTATTTTTTTTCTGTGAGCCACCACCTTTTCGGCAGGGTTGGGTATTCTTTCAGAACACTTCGTGCACACACAAAAACAAACAAACAAAAAGAAACAGAACATTTCGCACAAGCTCGGCTTTTGATCAGCTCTAGATTGTGAGCTGTGAACACTGCGACATGATGGCCGTTGTGCAGTGGCTGACAGGCAGTAAGACCTTTGCACACCCCCGCCCGCCGCACAGAATGGTGCCTTCCCGGACCGCTCCCTCCCCCTTCCCCTGGGGCAGAGGGTAGTACATTCCATTAGCCGCCGGGGAGGAAAAGGTGGTGCCGGAGTTGAGTGGATTTTTTTCTCTCTCCCCCTTACCCCACCTCCCGGAAGCAATTGTTCTTTAGAACCGGAAACAGTTGATGTTTCAAAGGGGGTGGGACCGGGCGGGTCAGAGCTCGGCGACTGACGGCGGGGGAGGAGCCGGGGCCGCTGCCGGGTGGTTGGGCCGGGCGAGTGTCCTTATCCTTAGCGCTCGGGGCTCGGGCCTGTAAGCCATTCGGAGCAGCGGCGGCGGCGAGGAACGATTGGGTCGAACGGGGACGGCATGTTGCTCTTCGTGGAGGTGAGTGGCCCGGGTTCCCTTCGGGGCAGGCGTGTGGAGGAGGCGCCGGCCGGTCCCCCCGCCATGTGACTTTCCAGGCCGTGCACGCCGCGGGGCCGGCGGCCGAGAGGCTGACACAGCACCTGGGCCTGCGGCCGCGTCGGGCGCGCTCCGGCCGGAGGACGCCGTGGGCGGGGAGGCCGGCGCGGGGAGCACTGGAGGCGGAGAGGGGAGCCTCGTCCGGCGCGGCGTGAGGCCCGGAGGACGCGGAGAGCTCCCATATGGAGCGCCGGGCCGAGGCGGACCGGCGGGGGCGGGGCCTGCGGGGAAGGGCGGTCAGGTGGGCGCGCTCCGGGGGGTGGGAGCGGGGCGCGCGGGGCCCGCCGGGAGCGGCGAGCAACATGTGGGGCCGCCGGGCGGAGAAGGTGAAAGTCGGTAGGTGCGCTGGGACAGAAAAAGTTGCAAGTTTCTTTTTAGCACCCTCTGTTCCCGCCCCCCCACCCCAATTTTGTTGGGTCCCCCCGACTCTTGGCCTCTGGAACGTTCTGTGGGTGTAGAGTGAGTTGCTGTGAACCGAGGCGGAGAAGAAGCCAATAGGGTTCGGAAGGCTTGAAAGGCACCGCTTTGACCTTTTGTAAAAGTTACTCTCGCAGCGACTCCGGCATGAGGACTTGGCTTTTTTTTATTTGCGTGTGTGTGTGTGTGTGTGTGTGTGTGTGTGGTTTTTTTTTTTTTTTTTTTTTGCTTGCTGGTTTTTTGTTTTTTTTTCCTTACGGATAGAAGCTCTTTGCAAGGAAAATTCCAAAAAGGAGAGACACCGAAGTCCAGGGAAAGGCAGTTTTTGTATTGTTACTTAACAGTATGAACACTTTTTTTTAAACTTGTCATTGGAACGCCAGCTGTTGGCCTATTTTAATTGTAGGTAATAGGTACCTGCCTTTACACATACGAGGTTTAATTTCTCTTATTTCTGTCTTTCTCTTGTGTGCAGTGAGCATCAGCTGACTGCCTGGCTAACGCTTTGAGTAGATTCCAGATCATACTGTTCTTGCATTGTGAAAACGTCCAACCAGCAAAGCTGCAACTTCGCAACTTGGCCCTTGTTAACTATGCCCATAAAAGAATCTTTTCAATGAGGGAAGGCATTTACAGGTTGTATAATTGATCGGCCAGTCTTTTCCGGGGAAGGGAGGGATCTTACTCTGTAGTAGTCCGTGTAAAGAAAATGACATGCTCTCACTTTTTAAAAATATTTATATTTTATTTTTACAGAGAGGAAGGGAGAGGGATAGAGAGTTAGAAACATCGATGAAAGAGAAACATACCTAGATCAGCTGCCTCCAGCACACCCCCCACCGGGGACGTGTCCGCAACCAAGGCACACGCCCTTGACCTGAGTCGAACCCTGGACCCTTGAGTCCGCAGGCCGGCGCTCTATCCACTGAGACAAACGGGTTAGGGCATGCTCTCACTTTTTAATCTACTCAGTGTATCTGATAAATGTGAGAGCTTTAAATTGACACAGTTACTTTACAGTATGTCCAACATTGATGATAAACATTCGTTAAAATATTCCAGGTGAATCATGAAAAGTTTTAAAATTAATTGAAGCCATTCTGTTGACTGATTTTACTTGTTTTTCTTTGGGCAGAAAAAGAAGTCAGATTATGATTTTAAACAATGCCATTTTGTGTTAGGAATGTTATGCCGTTTAAATGATGGAGATTTCAGTGTGTATATGTTTTACCAGGCAAAAGAAAGGACTGTGAAGTTTTATTTATATCAACATAATTCCAAAGTAAACTTTTGAGTTCCACATTGATTTCTTTGGCTTTGTTAAAATGTGAACTATAATAATAGCTCCATTTATTGAGTGTTGAAGCTAGATCCTCTCTTGTTTCTAAAACAACAAAGCAGTGTTTTATAGATGAGAGGTGGAGAGGTTAAGTAATTTAGTAGAAATAATGGGATTGAGATTTAGATACAAGTCATTCTAATGACAAATCACAGCTCTAGCTAAACTGTTTACATAAAATTGTTTCCATTAATCATTTTCTTTGTGAATCAGTATGTGATTTAAAATTTCTCTCCAGTGAGTTTTATTGAAAATTAATGTCACTACATATTTGGGCCTGAATATATGGTGTTAAAATCATTAAGAAAACTAAAAAACAACACTAGTCATTTAGCATTTTGTTAACTAATATTTGATCTTGTAACTTCAGGATATAGGAATTATTCTTTTTTTTTTTTTTAATATATTTTATTGATTTTGTACAGAGAGGAAGGGAGAGAGATACAGAGTTAGAAACATCGATGAGAGAGAGTCATCAATCAGCCGCCTCTTGCACACCCCCCACTGGGGATATGCCCGCAACCAAGGTACATGCCCCTGACCGGAATTGAACCCGGGACCCTTCAGTCCCCAAGCCGACACTCTATCCATTGAGCCAAACGGGTCCTGGCAGGATATAGGAATTATTCTAAATAAGTGAACCCAAGCTCAGAAGTTTGATGCCTAAGGTCATTCAGGTGTGAATAATGGGACTAAAGTCTGAAGTCTGACTTCTAGAACATAAAGCTCTGGCTTCAGAACTTATTTTTGCACTTTCCCTTAAGCCAAGAGTTCTTAATCTGGGTCCCTAGATAGAATTGAGGGAGTCCATGAACTTGGTTAAGGAAAAAAAAAAAATGCTTATTTTCACTAGTTTCTAATTGAAATCTAGAAATGAAAATTCTTGACATTTTAATGGATGCAACAAGAGAAATATTTTCTTTTAAAAAAATATATTTTATTGATTTTGTACAGAGAGGAAGGGAGAGAGGTAGAGAGTTAGAAACATCGATGAAAGCGAGTCATCGATCAGCTGCCTCTTGCACACCCCCTACTGGGGATGTGCCCGCAACCAAGGTACATGCCTTGACCGGAATCGAATCGAACCTGGGACCTTTCAGTCCCCAAGACGACGCTCTATCCATTGAGCCAAACCAGTTTCGGCAAGAAATATTTTCATATCCTATCACAGTTTTAACATAATCTTGACATTGTTTATGTTCATTACTATTTTTTATATATAAAGAGTCTTCTTATTTAATGTATTAGTAAAGCACATTTATTACTAAGTTTGAAATTTAAAAATACTTTGATAAATATAATTGGTTTATTTTGTGATCCTTAGTATTTTATATACTTAAAAACGTTATTCTGAGAAGAGATCCATGGCACAGGAGAGTTTAAGAACCACTTTACTATAAAACCAAGTTGCATATGGATCATCTTTGGACTTCTCTAATCTGGGATCTATGAGTCCTCTGCAGTTGTGTTAAAAAATCTCTTAGTGCATTTTTCTGGAGAGACTCCAGTTTACTGATTTATAACTGGAATCAGTGGGATATATAAAAAGTAATGATAATAGTATAATAATAGTGGTGTGCACGTGTATTGTAATTACTATGTCAGGCCTGTAAAGTGTTTTTGCGTGTATAACAAGCCTACTTTTGACGTAGTGGTGTTATCTCCATTTTAGAGATAAACTAAAACACAGAATTTAAGAAACGTGCCCAACCTGGATGAGGTTGGTTGATCTATTTGGAAATGTCTTTTGTGTGAAGTGTATTTTTGGGCATGTGGAGGTATTATTGATTTGAGAAAATGCTAAGTAACTGATTTACTATCTGAAAAATTTAAAGTTCTGAAAGTTTAAGGTCTCTTGCCAAAAAGAGGTTTTAAAGCTAACACCTTAATTTTAATGGAGAAAGGGGAAGACAAGCACTTCCCACCCAGAACAGGTAATCCAATTCCAACCAGTAACTATGTTTAAACAATGTGTCCATTTATGGGAGGGGAGTGGACTAACTGTTCTGGGGAAAGGGAGGGAGGAAGAGACTGAACATAAACTATGCACCTATGGATGAGGACAATGGGGGGTGGGGAGGGGGCGGAGGGTGGGGTGGGAACCTGGTGGTGGAAGGGGGAAGAAATGAGGAACCTTTGTAATAATATGAACAATAAAGATTGATTTAAAGAAAAAGAAAAAGAAATATGCCCAAGATTTCGAAGCCAATGAATGTTTAAGCTGCAATTAGAATTCTAAATTACTTAAAGATCTTCATGCTTCAGTAGGCAGACAAGGAATCTTATTTTAAATAATTCTTAGATGTCATTTTTTTTTTTTTTTAACTTGGTCTTGCAGGCAAATGGCTATTTAGACTTCAGTAGTTTATTTTTTTTTCTCACCTCTGTTTTGAAGGAGAGACACAGTGGCTCTCTGGAAAGAGGTAAAAATATCTGGACAATTCACAAAACTGTCAAACATGTCCCAACATAAATTGTTAAATAAATTCTGTAAGTTTGAAACAACTCCCTCTCGCTACTAGAGAGAGATTTAAATTTTTGAGCACCAAGGATGCAATTTGCAAATTTTTCATGTTTTTTTATGCTTGCTAACATTTTATTCATTTTTTACATCATCCCTTCCCCCCCCAGCTAATATTTTCAGCTAATTATGTCTGCTCTAATTGTTTGGTAGTGTTTTTGTTTTGTTTTTTAAATAGGATTTCTGTCTCTATTTGAGGTTTTCTCTGAAAATGCATACTTAGAACCACTTTAGATAGCAATTAATTTTAGGTACCCTAAGATGCTTTAACCACTCTCACATAACTTTTTAAAATTATTTTTAGCCCTGACTAGTTTAGCTCAGTGGATAGAGCATCGGCCTGCAGACTCAAGGGTCCCAGGTTTGATTCCTGTCAAGGGCACATACTCAGTGGGGAGTGTATAGGAGGCAGCTGATCCATGTTTCTAACTCTCTATCCCTCTCCCTCTCTGTAAAAAATCAATAAAATATTAAAATTATTTTTAATTATGGTAAAATATACATAAAATATATAATCTTCACTATTTTAGTGTATGTTCAGTGATATTAAGTACATTTATATTGTGCAATTGTCACTATCATCCATCTCCAGGACTCTTCATCTTGCAAAACTAAAATTCTGTACACATTAATCAACTTTTAGTC